GGGGGGGGGTGAGGTTCTAAGCTTCACCACTGTTGTTCCCCGATTTCTCACCTGATGGCCCCTATATTCCCATTTTAATACACTGACTTTTCACTTTCTCAATTTTTCTTCTAGTCCTGGTTATATAATCACAGTGGAGACACATACCCTTACAGTGTTTTTCATATATGTCACAAGCAACTTTCCACACTGCAACAGAATCATTCCAATTATTATTTTAATAGTTGGAATTATATTGCACTAATTTACATCCCATGTAGTTAATCACTCTCCAATGGTTAGGTGTTTGGGTTATTTTCACCTTGTAAATAAACATGTACTGAACATCTTCTCATATGTAACATTTCCTCTTTTGAACTACATTCTTGGTTGGGACGTAGACATTGTTAGAAACCCAGGCTGTGGAGGCAGACGATCTCAGTTTGAATTCTGATAGTCTTACTGTGTGACATTGAGTAAAGCATGAACATAGGCTGTAGTTTCATTTGTAAAATAGAGTAATTGTGCCTTCTTGACAGCATTGTTATGAGGCTTAAATGAAGTAAAATATGGAGCATTTAGAACAGTACTTGGCCAGGGGTGTGTACTTGGAATGACAGCTATCTGCAGTAAAATCAGCTTCCAAGGGTTTTCCCGTTCCGGACTCTTCGCCCCGCTCTCAGGTCTCACTACAGAGGCAGACCCAGGGCAGTCTTTGCTTCACTATCGTTTCAAGATGGCTTGAAACGCATCTGCTACCCAGCTACTCTCAGGCAGGGTTCCTTCCCCTGTGGTTCTTGTCTGGCCAGACAAGCCTGGCTAGGATTATGGGCAATGGAGGCCAAAACCTATTTTCTTGTCTCTGTGGCCTTGGCTTCCTTATGAGAATTGTGAGAGCCTTGGAGGTGAATCTGGAATTCCTTCTAGGTCTGCCCTTTTATGTTCCTCCTTCCACCCGCTTGAAGGCTATTACTGACCTACTGTAAATACTGTTCGGTATCTACCTATTGGGACAGTGATAGGTAGCTGACAGAAGTGAGGACAGAAACTAAAAAGCATATTATTAAAATGGTCTGACTCTTGGGATAATCTCTGGATGAACCACCAAGCCTCCACGGCCCATCAATTTTCCCAAGGCTTTTGTACAAGCTTTGTTCCCTTTTCCCTCTCTTCCTAGTTAGCTCAGCTCCACGACAGTCATTTGGCCAGTGAGACCTTGTGGAAAGGAAAACAATAACCACCACCACAACCACTGTAGCCAAGGAGTAATGAGGAAAAGAGAGCATAAGGTAAAGATGGAATGAATGGTCTCTAATTAAAGGGCTCAGATGCAGCGTTCATTTCTGAGGGCATGGGTCAGCTGACCCAAATAACAGCTACAGAAAGCCAAAGAAAACCCAGAATAGGAACAAAACTAAAAATACAAGGAAAACCGAGGAGGAAGTGTTTGGACTTTTGCTATTGATCGAGCTGTACAGGCAGCTGTTTTTCTTACAAAGATGGAATAGGGTGGAAGGGATTTAAAAGCTGGCTGTGAGGCAGCCACAACTTGTCAAAGAGTTTGACAAGTAAGCAACGAAAGTCCCCAGAGAGAATGTTTCACCTGCTAAGCCTGTTAAAGTTGGCTAACATTTAAAAAGAGCCAAACAAAGATTCATTTCTGGATACTAGTATTCCACGAGCAGTTTTGCAAGGTATTCCTTTCTGCTTTGAGATGCAGATCTTGACTTTGTGCTCAGGAAAGGAAGACTCACTGTGCTGAAAGATATCCCCAGAGGTATTTATGATGGGAAGAGCTGAAGGCTGGGAAACATGGATTTAACTGCAGCTTTGCTACATTTTAGCTATATGGCAGAGCTCCTTATTAAATGTCTTTGAGCTTCAGTCTGTCCCTCTGTAAAAACAAAATCTAGTTGGGTGGGAAATGCAATCCTCATTAAAACAAAACATAGAGTCCCAGAGTGCTTAGTGGAAAAAAACAACAAAAGGAGAATCTGAACCTGGCCAAACCAGGGCAACTGAGTAGCCTTATATAGCAGCGGTCTTCAATATACTTCCACTTGCCCTGATGCCAGGACCTAGACTGCAAAAGGTTCTCACCTGGGAGGTAGAGAAAAAGGCATTGGAAGTTCTGTTTACCAGCAGGAGACAATTAACACAGAGATTATACATACAGCATCTCCACAGGCTACCTGGTGTGGCTGATGCAAATGGAAAAATTCCTTAGAATGACTTATGTTACCTTTGAGGATAGTAAAATAGCAAAAATTAAGTTTTAGGCAATTATCTTCTTTAAAATGATCTGCCAAAAGAAAAAAAATATTCAAATAAAGACAGCAGGAAAAGTGGGTTCCTGGAAAGACCAAACAAAAAATGTTAACAGTAACAACCCACAAGAGTAAGTAACAACCTGGGGCTCAAGTGATGTCCTAGTGTGTGGAAGAGAACAGAAGGTCTGGGAAGGAAGATCAAGAGTTCAATCCCATCGTGTCAGTAAGGATTCTCCAGCCACATAGAACCAGTACTAGTGTATAGATGTACACAAAGGAATTTTTATGGGAATTGGCTCAATTATAGAGGCTGAGAAGTCCCATCATCTGCCTCATGTAAGCTGAAGGCCTAGGAAAGCTGGTGGTGTAGTTCTACACTGACCCTAAAGGTCTGAGAGCCAGGAAGGCTGGTCAGAGTCCAAAGGCCCAAGAACCAGGAGCTCCAACATCGAAGGGCAGGAGATGAATGTCCCAGCTCAAGGAGAGAGCAAATTCACCTGTCCTCTGTCTTTTTGTTCTATTCAGGCCCTAATGGACTGGATGATCCCCATTTGTATTGGTGAGGGTTTTCTTCACTCAATTTACCAATTCAAATGCTACTTTCTTTCTGAAATCCTACAGACATGTCCAGAAATAATGTTTTACCAGCTATCTTGGACATCCCTTAACCCAGTTAAATTGATACATACAATTATACAGAGAAGACAAGTAATGATTCTATAGCGTCTTACTACGCTGATGAACAGTGACTGTAATGGGGTATCTGGGGGGGACTTGATTATAGAGAGGGGGAGTCTAGTAACCATAATGTTCTTCAAGTAATTGTACATTAACAATATAAAAAAATTGATACATATAATTAACCCTCTCCCCATGTGAGAATACCCATTACTGTTTGGAGGTTAACTCTCTTCAGCCTAGTAGCATTCACCAGAAACTGACAGGTAGTGTCTTGCCAGTGGGTTTCAGCCCTGGGCAAGTTCACTATGGATTCAATGTGACCAAAGAAATGACAGTAGAATGTTCTTGGGGTGAAAGGGTTATACCCAACTTTATTTCCAAGGTGGCCGGTCAATCACTAGAATCCTGTCCACTCAGAGGGAGTCTGCATTCAGCAAGCCGGGCTCTGCCTCTGGGCCCCTCTGCCCGCACAGCCATCCCAGTCGCCTTCCTCAGCACTGCCACCACTCCAGCCTCTGCTCTGCTCTCTTGCAGCCTTGCAGCTGTGCCATCGTATTGCCCAGAGCACTGGGCAGGGCTCTTTTATATAGAGTCAATAACGACACATTGCCCACACCTGTGTACTGAGCTAGCCAACCAGGACCAGGTGAGAATCCTGGCCACACGAACCTTCACTTTATCCACAGGTAGCCTTGAGCCCTCGGGTATGCAGTTAAACAGGCTGGCATTAAGATCCTTACGAGAAGATGACAGGGTTGAAAGCTTTACTTTATGTGGCTCTATAGATTCTGAGCATTGAAACAAAGATCCTTTTTCCAACACACTGAATCCTCCTCTCCTGACCTCTAGAACACCATTTCTATAGACAGACACTGAATTGAAAATGTTAAAAATGTTTACTGTCATCTTCCCTTCCCACCATTCAAGAGTTTTCTATCCTGATTTGTTAGGCCACAAACCTCAGGTCACCTTGACTCTTCCCCTCTTCCTCACACCCAAACCAATCATGTTGACATCATCACTGGCATTTCTATCCTCCATTTTCCCTGTGTGGATAAAGTGAGGGTTCCTGTGGCCAGGACTCTCACCTGGCCCTGGTTGGCTGGCTCACTACACATGTGTGGGCAATGCATCATTATTGACTCTATACAAAGAGCCCTGCCCAGTGCTCTGGGCTAAAATGGTGGCATGGCTACAAGGCTGCAGGAAAGCAGAGATGAGACTGGAGTGGTGGCAGCGCCAAGGACAGAGACTGGGACGGCTGCAGGGGTGAGGCCCAGAGGCAGAGACCAGCTTGCTACATGCAGACTCTCTCTGAGTGGACGGGATTCTAGTGACTGACCTGCCACCTGGAAATAAAGTTGGATATAACCCTTTCACCCCAAGAACGTTTTGCTCTCGATTTCTTTGGTCACACTGAATCCATAGTGAACTGCCCAGGGCTGAAACCCATTGGCAAGACCGTCACCCTCAAAGAGGACCATGGAGAGCAACGAATAGCCAAGCCACTCATCACTACCAAAGGCAAAAGAGCACTCCTGGGACATAACCTGGGGGCAGCCTCTCCAGGCCTCTTCCACTGAGAGAGGCTTGAAGGAGCAGTATCTATACTATTAACACTTTTAAAAGTCAGGAGTGAAAAATAACAAATTTAAAATCTGACATTAAAAAAAGGGACTATCCTTTGGAGTAAAGAGATACAAACTATGATCTTGAACTGGATTCTGGTTTAGATCAATCAAATGTAAAGAACTATTTTTGAACAATTAGGAATTTTGAATATGGAGTGGATATTAGATGACATTAAAGGTAGAGTATGTAGGAAAAAATGTGTATAGTATGTAGAAAAAATGTACCTTTTAGAAATATAAAGTTTTGTATGCACAGAATACTGTGATGTCTGTTATTTTTAAAAAAATACTTCAGTATAAAAGAATTGAGTTATAAAACCAATCAACCAGTTACTGAAAGAAAATATGACATTTCAGAGGATAACTACTTTCTAGCCTTCATGGTGATTTTATCAGTGGAAAGCCTTTTTTAGATGGGGCAGGCCAGGGTCAATCTTCACCAAGGAGACTGATGCTCCCCACCCGCAGTAAATGAGCCTTGGGGAGACCCCAAGGTGAGCTGTGCATGGAGAGGGGTCTCTTCTGAAGGCCTTCCCCCCCTTGTTATAGTTATACTCCATTATTACCAAAGTGAAGAGAGGAAGTTTATCAGGTTATTTCACAGAAACACAACAGGACATCTGGAACATCCTCTGGTTTAAGAATACCTCTTTGACTAGAATCACAAATGAATCTAAAAACTAAAATTTTTATTTTGTTTACTGCTCCCCTGAAATTTTCTGTCTCTGCTTCCTTAATATCAGTGCAGAAGGCAAGGAAGAAAACAGTTCTCCAGCAGTAAGAATCTTAGCAAGAATTTTATTAACACATACTGGCATATTCCTAAGATACAAGTCCTCAAAGCACGGCCCCACACTGAAGACATTAAAAGTGCTCAAGTCACTGGCCCTCAGTCTAGTTTCATAACCCCACTCCTTTAACAAAACCAGGCTTGCTGCACTTCGCCCTGTCCTCATCCCTACATGGAAGTCCCCTTGGTCAGAGGCAGACAGGAACACGCATAGCCTCTGCAAGGACAGGTGCTCTTTCTGATTACACCAGATGGAGAAAAGCTTAGCATCAGCTGACCAAAAGGGAATTCAGATTTTTTTACAAAGTCACTCATTCCACCTCTCTACAGGAAGGTCTGGAATATCTTCAGGATGAGAATGAAGACTCCCATTGCCGGAATATTCGGAATACGTTTCTTGATTTCTCAGAGAGACTCTATAGACAGAAAAGCTCATTATTAGAGATTAAATTCTTATAAAGAGACAAATTTCTCCCACAATGATGTAGATATTGAGTAAAACTAATTTTATACTATGCTATACATAATATATACCTAAATCCACATTAAAAATCTAAAAGCCTATGTTCTGCCATTAGACTCCTACCAACACCTCTGAGCCTCTAAAATATGGTTCATGTTTTCCCACTAAGTATTTGTATCTGTCCTAACCTTTGCATGTGAGGACGATGCTTCTGACCCAGCACTGGCACAGCACACAGACTGCACACAGGTTTCCATCTGTGATGCTGAATTGGCCCAAGTTCATTATTTTTTGTGAACAAGGTTCACATTGACGTGACACCTAGCTAGGACTAGCAGTACAACCCCAGGCCAAGGAATAATACAAATTAAATGACCATAAGAGTTTAAACTATGACCTTGGCCTTCTCAGCTTCATGTTTTAGCCAGCAGAGCTAATAATAGGAAGACTCTCACTGCCACTTGATCATGCCTTTGAAGTGATCTGAGATTCTGAGAAATGGTGTTATAGGGAGACAAAGCAATTCACTAAAAGGTAAAAGTTCTCAGTGAATCAAAACACTTGGTTCTCTACCCTTGAGAGTCACAGTGAAGAGCATAGGGTCTCAGTGAGAATAACATTACGGAGCAAGATAATCTACAAAGTTACCTCCAGTTTCTGACATCAGATATTTTCACTGTTTTCTTATCCTCTTTGTGGGTAAGTTTCTCAGTAAAAGTCCCAGAAGGAAAAAGTATGAGCTCTTACTAATGACCGAAGGGAATTTATTTAATACAGTGACAAAGTTGAAAGAAACACAAGTTGAAAAATGGAACTGATTTTTTTCTAACAAAATAATCCTCTACCCAGACTCATTTAAGCTTTGTACTTCCCAGTCACAGCAGCTGTGGGGAGACTGAAAGACAAACTACTAAAAAGGATCTTAAAAGTCCTGGAACCCAGGGCCAATTATGAGGCCAACTTTCCCCACTACAAAAAAAAAAAACCCTGTAGGATTTCTCGTTAGTATGATAGCAACAGAGGGGAGTCAATAAAAACTGCTAGTACTCTATTTCATGTAGATCTAGGCAGAGAGAATTTATGTGCAAAGACAGATATAATCTTTCGAATTTGAGAGGAGGGCCAAGCATTTGTCTTCAGATAGATTTACATATTTTCAAAAGTTCTTAAATTGGAAAAAACGCAGGTATTTTTCTGCAAGACACCTGGAAAACCTTCACTGGCAGAGTTACCAAGGGTCCACAAGTGCATTCCTGGCTTTCCGCATCACTACAGTTCTCTCCAGTGGAATCCTATGACTCTATAAAACCATGAATCTGGGAACGCTTCTTGCAAACATCTGCTGTCAAGTATTATTTTACTTTGTCCTTGGAAGGTATAGAGGTCAGATGTTATTATATTTATACCAGGCTACAAGACAAACTTGGGACTAGGCCAGCAAAGGAAAGAGAACCCATTTTTACGATTCCTTAGTGCCCAGTCACCTCCCTTACATAGAGCAAGCACTTGACCTGCTTCCTCAGCTGTCGTGATGGATTTACATTTACCCATGTCTGTGCCCAGCAGCCGTCATTACCGTGGTGGCTAGCTGAGGCTAGGTGCACAAGTCTAGGGCTGTGGGACAAAGTAACAGGCCCATTGTGAGGAATGAAATCATAATCTTGGTGTCAGAGTGCAAGTGACAGCAACTGATAAAAAAAAGCAGCTGTTCTGCAATACGAGGCCACAACAGCTGCTGTTCGTCTATTTCTGTTTCTGTTTTGGTACTCCTTTTCTTATTTGGGTCACTTTAGTTGAGAAGACAATGAATTTACCAGAATTTGATGGAATGCCGTATGGTAAACTGCAGAAAGGTTGAACTGGTTCCATGCCTGTTCTCTAGGATGAAACCAGACTGGGTCTAACTTGACTTACAAAAGCTGAGGGCAGGAAGGGTGCTAATTATAGGACCAGTACCTGCTCCTCAGCCCATAAACAGCAAGTGCTGTACACATATGGGGCAATGGCTTATCTCACCACAGAGTCTCTTTCAGCTGGCCGCTTGGACTGTTTGTGGGTCAAGAGGATGTTCAGGGTTGCCCTCCAGCCTGGCTCCGCTGGGGTGCTGGCATCTCCCTCAGTTCTGCTACTCTCCCTATTTTCCTTGCCAAATGTGATGTTCACCCAAGGGCACCAATCTCTATGTTGAGAGGTAGGATCGAAGAAGCTTCGGGAAGATGTGTCCTGAGGGAGGAGGAAGAGAAATAGTGTTAATGAAGGGCAGATGCTATGTTTATTCAGGGAGGCACTGCCATTTACTGTCACGCCCAGAATCTCTCAACTGCCCAAGTATCTAGTTTTACGTCCTCCTTTAAACTTTCCCTATGCAGTTCCCTCTCACTTTGTAAATTCTTTCACTCATTCTGGGTTAAACAAACCGTACTTGATCAGGTCTGTCTCCCTATGTCATCCCCTGAAACATTTATTACCTCTCTAGAATGCTTTGCAAAGAAACAAATGACAAAACCCTTCGATTTTTTTCCTTTTGGTCACCTAACTGTCCCATCTTTAAACTTATTCACATGGTCTTATAGCACAGGACCAGGGAAGGGCTCGTGCCGGCCTCTCCCTGCCTCACAGGGAGGGCACGGCAGGCTGCCCATGCTCCATGGCTTCCACGGGCAGGAGGACGCACAGAGCTGCTGGAAGAGCAGAGGCGAGCTCGTTTGGCTCTCCGGAGAGGGCTAGATGGCACTTCTAGGCCAGCGGTGTCTCCTGTGCCCATGCTGCGGGTCACTGGGCGGGTTCTGGTGGTGGGGCTGGTGGCCTCCGGCTCAGCACGGTCGACAGGACTGGAAGAGTCCCAGCTCCGGGTTCGGGAGACAATGGGGCCTGGGCTCCTTTCAGGCTGAAGGAAACAGGAGATGATGGAAGTACACCAATGATAGTAACGACTATGGTCTGGGGAAATATTTCTAAAACATGTGAAAGCTAGTATTTTATAGTTTAAACTATAAGAATTTAGTATCTGAACTTTTGACATAACTATACTCTTGAAAGAATATTAGATTTCTATACAAAATAATGAATTTAGCTTTTCCACTGAAATTGGTGAATAAAAATCTGATATTCTGATCAATGTGATTAGAAGTGAAGCCTACGCACCTAAGTTAATTTCCAACTTTTCTACCAACAACACTTTTGGCAAGAATCCTGGTCTTAAAAAGTCCACCCCAAATAAGCCAATTAAGCCTCCACCTGCTCTGAGCCTGGGGAAAAGGTGACATCCTGGCTGCGAGTCATCATCCTCCGAGGAGACTCAGGCACCAGAAGGACGCGCTCTGGCCTCCCCTCAGGGCCTGAGATGGGGGAGCTGGTCAGGCCAAAGGATGTGTCCAGGTCGGTCACTGACGATTCAATCTGCTGGAAGCCCCAGAGCCCCACCTTCCTCATACACTGTGAGCACGTTATCAGCGAGAGCTGCATGGGTTCCAAGGAAGAACTAGGGAGGGAATGGAAAAAAGAGTTGTTTCAAAGGGTAACATTTCCAAAGGATTAAATATAATCACTTGTGAGTATGCTTTATCTCATCAAACAAATCTCTGGTACAGTCCAGTGGACTGGGAACCACACCCTCTCAGGACCTCTCAGATCCTCTGATCTCAGGACCCCAACTTCTTCATCACTCACATATTTCCTATAGAAAGATCTAAAGGTTATGTTTTATACATTTCTCCTATTCTTATTTTCCTTTTAAATTAAAAATATTCCTTTATCTACCAAAGAAAGCATATTTAAAGTAAATCAAGATGGGCTGACAGTCTTCTATCCCAGAAGGAGTCTGTGCCAAACTGAGCAGCTGGAGTGGGAACATCCACATGGGGGCCTAGAGGGCTCCAGCTGGTATTTTCTTTGGTAATTTTTATCAATTAAACTGATTTTTCTTCCTTTCTAAAAATAAAAAGGAGCTTCACTGTTTACAGGAACACAAATTCCCAACTGTGTAGTGATAGTAAATGAAACGAATCAGGTGCATTTAAGAGTTACCGAGTTATGTTACAGAGTCTTACTGTCTGCACCCCCCTGCCACCATTCCCTCAGGTTCTCTTTGTTTTTTTCACAGGAGACACCATATGCTCTCCAGATACTATTCATGACTGATGTATATGGGTGTATAATGCTGTCACAGTTCATGTCTCCAGAAAAATTTGCTGACTAACCCACATGCCCAGCCACACAGAGAGAGGATACAGGCAGTGATGTGGACGTGGATGTCTGAGCCTAATTTGGTTGTGTTTCTTTTCTCATCAGTTCGGTGATCAAGTTCCTCTTCAAGCAGATGTAGGAGAAGACTGATCTTGTCTTCTGTCAAACACTACGAAGGAACCAAGGCAACAAACCTAAGGTTTCAACCACCACGAAAGGAAAAGTTACATATAATGATATACCTCGATGGTATGAGGCAAAAGTCATGAAAGAAATGACAACCATGATGACAATTCTCTCACTGGAGCAGGCTTCCTTCTCCAGGACAGGGCGAAGGCATCACACAGAAGCTTTCTGAATTGCCCTGGATCTGCTGATTCAGAAAGGGAGCAGTTTTCCTGAACTACCAAATCTTTTCCTAGTACTAACTTGTTTTCAATTTACCAATTGCAGATCTTCTCTGAAACCTGTAAACATCAAAACTAAATGATGAAAACAGATTACTGCTTATATCTTGATCTAAACCTGAATTTACTTTATGATAGAACAACAGAGCTTGCCACAGTCTTGATTTTTGTTCTAAGAATAACAAAGAACTATGACAGGGTGAAAAAAAATTGCCTTGGCTGGAAACGGGGGGATATTATAATAGGCATTAGAGGTTAATGGTTTAGTGTTAAAATTCAAATAGCTTCTCAAGTTGAAGAAGCAAAATAATAGCTTCCATGTCCTACAGTAAAGCTTATCTTCACAGAGCACCTACAGGTGATGAAATGGGACAGTAAATACTCAGTTTCAAAGTACAGATGGGCCACAGCATTTCATATTTCTACTCACAAAGGAGAAGAGAATTTATAACTTCTCCTCTAGTACTTTCTTTGGGAAATGGTATATAAAAAACCATTATGAAGTCACATGTCAGTATCTTCTGCTAAATAGTTTAAGAAACAAATCAAGATAAAACTGAATTTACACATTTAAAGAATCATATCTAAAAGCATAAACGGAACCAATTCACTGAAACCCTCTGTAGTCACCTTTTGGTGGAAAATGAGAAAGGCCAGTTGAGAGAAAAACAAGCAGTTCTCTCTATACCAACTGGAATCCTCCTCTCATTAAAAGAAATGCTTCACGTGTAAATACTGGCGACAACTGAAGGCCACTGGAGGCTAGTCAAGAAAAACCCACCATAGTTTTCAAGTCCTCTGGCCTCAGGGAAGGAAGCTGGAGATCCAAGTGACACAGGCTTTGAAAACGCTCTAGGAATTCACTAAGGAGAGCAGCAGGCTCCTCCAATGGCAACATCCCAAATCTATCTGTGGGTAAAGTAAACTGAAAGATTACACTGGTGCGAGGTGCAAAAAATTAAAACATGTACAAAACAACAGAGGACATATAAAATCGATGTTTGACCAGTTAATGTTTAATAATTTAAAATTATTGATTTTTTTATGGGGCTATGATGATGTTTTTGTGATTATGTTCAAAAAGTAGATTCTCAGGAAGGTTTCTCAGAAGCAGTGAGGTCTAAGCTGAACCTGAAACACCAACAACATAAAAGCAGTGGCCCAAAGGATGGCAACTTGGGGAATTCCAAATATTTACACAGCGTGGGAACACATGTGCTTGTGGGGAAAGTACTAGCAGATAAGTTTATTAAAGTATTGACAATGACCAGACCATAATTTATTGATGTATGTGGAAAGAAATTGCTGAAAGATTTTTTTAAAGCAAGAACTGATATTATAGGTAATATGCATTAGTTTAGCAACTGTAAGGGGTCAGTCTGGATGTAAAGAAATAAGCAGACCTTCAAGAGATTTAAGGTAATCCCTGTAAGATACCAGTGGCACAAGGATAGAGTGAAGGAGCATCAGTGTTGTAAAACTCCCATTGATCAATGAAACCTTATACTGTAAAAAGATAGGGTGCAGTAAGATACAGCATTAAATTGGGAACATGAATATAAGCTCATGATGCAAAATAGAAATCTAACAGTGACAGTTTGATGAACATACAAATATGTCAAAACTTATCAAACTATAAACCTATATATGTGCAGTTTATTTTATATCAATTATACTTTAATAAGGCTGCTTAAGAAAAACAACTTTTTCCAGTTTTGTTGTTAAAAGGAGTCCAAAATCACTAACTGTATTTATTATATAATGACTTTTTGTGTCTCCTATTAAATATTATCAAATTAAATTTGCAAGTAACCAAATATGTCAAAATACATCATCAAATTGAAAAGATGCACCATTTTACTAGAAAAGTGAGATTATAAAAGACTAAAATCAGTGAGAAAGGTATGGACTTTAAAAAATCAAATGAAGCTTAACAATAAAAAGGAAACTTGTTCAGATGACCAGTGGCTCAGGTTTGACAAAACTTGGAAGAAAATCCAGGTCCCAACACTCTTCTGATCATGTTCTTCTAATTTAGGGTTTTGTGTAATTGGTAGAATCTTAAGAAGATACTATTAAAAACTCATGAAAGTAAAAGAGTAAACAGAAGAAATTAAATCCACTACAAAAATGTTTTGACATAAGTTTAAATATTTGTTTTATAATTAACATGTGAATATTTTGTCTCCTTTAATGGTTGATATGTTTAAAATAATCAGTCCTAGTAAATTTGTAATTATAATTTAAAATATTTAAAGGGATTTACTTTAGTTTGTAATTACTGGTCAATGTTAGAAAAAAGTAACCTTCAAAATTATATCTATTAGATATGCTTAATAAATTTAAGCATTCAGGTATATATAAATAGTTGTGGATGTTCTTTTCTTAACATTAACATCTCCAGAATGTGAAAGAACAAAACCAAGAGATGGTATAAATGAGAGGTCATATTTGAGATCTAGTGAGGAGACAGGATGGATAGGACCAGGTGCTGATGATAGGCAAAGCTAAGGCAACATCCAGGTTTCTAGCTAGGACAGTGGATGCGCATGTCAGTACCATTTACCAAGATGGAGAAAATATAAGATGAGAAGAGGAGCAAGTTTTAAGTATAAGATGAAGAATTCAGTTTTGTACATGTTGAGTTCAAGGTATCTGCAAGATATTAAACAGAAATGTTTAGAAGGTAGTTAAAAATATGAATCAAGCTCAGAAAAGAGGTCTGAATAGGAGTCAGAGGCCTGCAAGTAGGTGGTAGCTGAAGTTATGAATGGTTATCAAAAAACAGAGCGTAAAGTAAGAGTTGGGAACCACCAACAGAGCCCTGTGCAGACCCTAAAAACCTGGACTGAGTACAACAGACAGAGATGGACTCACATCCTACTGGGTTTTGGTGTATTATACAGTGAAATAGCTAGGCCAACAGCAGGAAATCCTTGTTATACAGTCATCATCACTCTAAAATGTTTATTTTTTATTAATACTTTTTATATCACTTTTTATCAATAGATGGCACTCTGTGGTCACCTTCAATCTATTTTTCCCTCCTAGTGGTCATTCATGGAATACTCCTGGGCATGTGACCCTGGAATTAGCCTGCACTGTCCTACTGAAATAAGTAGACATTCATGGCACTGATTTTTGGTCAAGCATGAAGTATATGGGTTAAGTGTTGCTTTGTAACCATGGATCCAGCAAGCTTTGCACCTGGTCTTGGTGAACCCCCCACGGGGCTCTGCTACTGAGGCTAGTTACTCAGTAGGAATATGCCTATACGATCAACAAATTATTTTTAAAATCCTACTTGAGAATACATTTAGGGTTCCCTTGTTCTGAAGCCTTTTTGTATACAAACACTTAAAGGCCAAGAGCCTTTAAGAGTACAGGTACAATGAAAAATAAAAATAATGAAAATAATTTAAAAAGATATGAAAATATTAGTAACTGTATCATCTTAGTATTTTGCATAAAACAAGTTCTAAATCAAAGATCCTAAGATCAGTAACAAAGGAGCTATCATGTACCTTATAAGACAGGATATTCCAAAGCATGAGACTTTATAGAAGTCTTGTATCTCTTTGCCTAAGTATAAATTTTGGAGCCATAAAGTAAAGCTACTGCTGTCAGTTTCCCAGCATACATGAAGTCAGGTTCACTCTAAAGTGGCTTTAGTTTTTTAAAAACAGTAATGACTGAAGCTAATAATTAGGGTGAAGACAATCACAAATTTGCCTGCTTCAAGGGAGCAGCTGACCTGCCACAGCCCTTATACCAGCAGGACAATAGGTGCTCCCACTGCCCCCGGAGGCTCCAGACCTTTGCCCTGGGGGCAGGTCTTTGGCTGTAATGATGCTTTCGTTATGTTGTATCATGTTACTGTAATAAACTGTACATTTGTAGTCACTCCCATTTGAGATCTTGTGAGTCTTCTGGAGCAACCAAACCCTGTTTAACTGCCACCATTAGTGCCATTAGGGCACCAAAGGAAGCCTGGGCAGAACACAGGGCTGCTCGCTATAGTGAGAAAAGCAGAGGGTTTGAAATCACATATAACATAGTTATGGCTCCTCATTAGTTGGTTTTAAGATCTCTGAGTCTCTCTGTTTCCTCACCTAAAAAGCTAGGCTGATAATACTGACCTCCCAGTGGCCCTGTGAGGATTAAATGGGATAACATATGAAAGGCTAAGTGGCTGGCATATCAAATGAACTTAATCATGGTAATAACATCATAAGTGAATGAATGTACGTTCTTCTTGAAAAGCAAAAATAGAAGATAAAAAGAAACTTCAAAGACTGGATTTTTCACAAATTAATAGTCAATATTAGAAATTCAATGACCAAGAAGAGTTGGTAAATGGGAAACCGTGGAAATAAGTACCTGGAGAGGGGCTATCTGGCCAGAAACAGAACTTCTCATGGGCAGTACACAAGGCTTTCTTCAGCTCAGCACAGCGGTCCTTATCTGAAACCAACATAGGTAGCAACACCTTAAAAAACACTGTATAGATTCAAACTCCAATGGCCAAGAGCCTTTAAGAGTACAGATACAGTGAAAAATAAAAATAACTGAGATAATTTTAAAAGATATGAAAATATAGCAACAGCATCATCTTAGTATTTTTTTTCACAAAATCAGTTCTAAATCAAGAATCTAAGATCAATACAAAGGTGTTAACATATATCTCATAAGGCAGGGCACTCCAAACTGTGAGCCCTCATATACAGTTCTATGTCTCTTTGCTTAAGCATAAATTTTGGAGCCATAAAGCAAATGAACTGCTGTTAGTTTCCTGAAACACAGAAGATCAGGTTCACTCTAAAGTAGCTTAGTTTCTTTAAAAAAGTAACGACTGAAGCTAGTAATTAGGGTGAAGACAATCACAAATTCACCTTATTAGATACTGAAGTATACATTCTTTGATCAAACACAGGTGACTAGTCTTTTCAGAAAAACTAGTATAGTATATCCTTGAGTATGGAGAAGAATCTAATTTGTACTTTATACTTACATCTGTCAAAATCAAAAGCTGGTTGTAAACTGGCACAGAGAAAAGCCTGACAGCTGGAGCATTTGAGCATATCACATTCAACTGTAACCCAGCCATATTTTGCACAGACAAGTGGAGACAGCTCGGGGGGCTTACCTGCCCATTTCAAAGAGTATTCATGTTAAGAAAACAACAGTACAAGTATATGAAAATGAATAAATCTGAGGTGAAAACTTTAACTTGTTCTCTATGTATAAAGGAATAAACACTTTAAGGGGAAAAGCAGCAAGAAAAGTTAAAAATACTATTTTTCAAGCATAGGCACAGACTTCACAGAATGATGAAGGTCATTTGAAAAACAAGCAGAGAGAAAAAAAGTTCTAAATATAACTTTTCCTCCACGAAGTCCTATGTATTTTTTAAAAATATTTTATTATTGTTTGTAGGGTAGAATGTAGAAGCCATTTACTTTCACTTAATATTAAACATAGAGAGTTTAAAAGACTTGTGAAAGCACTGGGATATGCCTAAGCAATAAGGGATGGGGAAAGTCAAACATGCAAAAACATTTCCCACCTCTTATCTGTGCTCTCCTATTGTACCACATCCACTTCTACCTTCCAAAGAATAGTCAGTAAAATTAATAAGATTCTTCCTTATTCCCTCTGCCTGAAGTGTGGTTGTTACATACCAATGTGTGTGTAGTCTGTGTGTGTTATATAGGTGAAAGCATCAAGAGCATCTGTGTAAGTATGTGCTTGAGAAACTATCCTAAAACATTTATTGGTCTTTAATATTCAACACTCAGCTTTTTATATTTTACCTAAAGAGCTCTTATTTTATGGCGCACAGAAAAAAAAAAGGATAAGACATGAAAGGAGATGCAGGAAAGTTCTATATTTTCGTAAGGGATATGGAAATTTAAAAGCATTCCAGTATCAGCCAAAGAAGGAATGAAGGCTAGAAAACAGAATTTAGATATATTAAAATATAAAGGAGCTGGGAGTCTCTAAACAAAAAGTAATAAAATCACTTAACTAGCTTAAGTTAAATTATCATCATGTCCAAAGTGGTGATCAACTTACATACTATGAGAACAAGAAAGGAAATGGTTCTAAATACTGTACCAAAATCAGGAATTAGTCTAAAGAACAGCAGTAGAAGGACAGTTGAAATACCTCCCTCTTCCTAAGCAAGTTAGTCCTAAAGCCATCAGGCCCTGAACAACAATGGAGTGGGGTGGGGGAAGGCAACTAAGCAGGGGGTGACAGAATGCAAGCCGGGCAGAGAAGGGTCCGCACACTGGCCCTGCTTGCGGGGTGGGAGCCAAGTGTGGCATGACGAGCACCTGCACGGGGCTCCCATTTACCAGATCAGGAACAACTGGAATGTCAAAACATATGATGATAATAATGGATTATAACCCACTTAATTAAAAAGGAAATCATAAGCTCAATGCTGCTACAAGTAAATAAATTACATAAAGTTTGATGAGGAATGGGATATTTACAGTGCCAAAGCACCTCCCCATAAAAGATTTTTTAATTACAATGGAAGAAAAGAGTCACTTGACAATGGAAAACACTAACAGACACTCTTTTAATCAAGTGCTCATCACCAGTAATGGGATAAATCAAAATCACGTAACCTGACAAGATGCAAGGAGAACGCTTCTGTGATACTCCAAAGGAGGTATCAAACGCAAACTGGGTTACACTCTACAAATTAATGTGCTCTAATCTTCAAGCAAAAGTATCAGGATCATGAAAATCAAGGAAAAACTGAGGATTCACAACTGGATCCTTTTGTTGTAAAGAACATCATTTGGACAGCTCATGAAATGATTGGGTTGGATGGTAGTAATGTATTATGTGAATGCCCTTATTTGGAGGATTGCATTGTAGTTATGTAGGAGAAAGTCCATATTTGCAGGAAATTTTTTGGGGTAACAAGGTGTCACTTTGACAATTTATGTTCTAATAGCTCAGAAAGGAAGTTCTTTGTAACCTGTGCAGCCTTCCTGTAAACCATAACTGTCCTAAATTTTTAAGATATCACTCTAATGAAAAGAAAAACAGCAAAAGTGATGGGATATCACTTCTGAGATGAAGTTATGAAGAGTCTAGCTTGTCTTGTTCTCTTTTGCTTGCTCACTCCGATGGAAGTCAGCTGCCATGTTGTAAACTGTCCCTGTGAGAGGCCCAAGTAGCAAGGTACACAGGGAGGTCTCCAGCCAATAACCAGTATAAAACTGAAGCCTTCAATCCAGTGGCCATGAGGAAATGAATCCTGTCAACAACAAAGTGAGTTGGTGTGGATAAAATGAGAACTCCTGTGGCCAGGATTCTCACCTCGCCCTGGGTGACTGGCTCACTGCACACCTGTGGGCAATATATTGCTGTTGACTCTGTGTAAAGAGCTCCAGTCAGTGCTCTGGGCACAACACGGTGGCATGGCTGCAAGAGCAGAGGCTGGAGTGGTGGCAGCGCCAACGACAGAGGCCCAGAGGACAGCTGTGCAGGATGACCGTGTGGGACGACTGTGAAGGCAGAGGCCCAGAGGATGGCTGTGTGGGACGGCTGTGCAGAGAGAGGGGACCAGCGGCAGAGACCAGCTTGCTGCATGCAAACTCGCTCTGAGTGAATGGGATTTTAGTGACTGACCTGCCACCTGGAAGTAAAGTTGGGTATAACCCTTTCACCCCGAGAACGTTTTGCTGTCAATTTCTTTGGTCACACTGAATCCATAATGAACTTGTACGGGGCTGAAACCCATTGGCAAGACAGTTGGAAACACATCGATCCCTAGTCAAGCCCTGAGATGACTGCAGCCCCAGCCAATATCTTGATGCCAGGCTGTGAGAGACCCTGAACCAGAGGACTCAGTTAAGCCTTGCTTAGATTCTTGATCCACAGAAACTGTGAGATAGTAAGTGTTAGTTGTTTTAAGTCACTAAGTTTTAGGGTAATCTGTTCTGCAATAATAGATAACTAACATACAGAGTGAAATCTAGAGACAGGAAGTATAGTACAGTCATTAAAAAAACTATCAAAGTGTACGATGCTCATTAAGTGTGCAACAACATTAAGTTTGGGTGCCAAGAGCCTTATGCTATAGTCCTGGCTCTGCCATTTGTTAGCTGGGCAAGTCACATAACCTACCTGACACTGTTTCTTCTTTTGTAAAATGAGTACAATAATATCTATTTTTATAGGTTTAAGGTGAAGATCATAGGTTTAAGGTGAAAATCAAATATGATTTCAGAGGTTTATGGTGAAGATCAAAACACACTACATACAAGTGTTATTATTCCTCCTTTCAGGCTCTTAGTTCTTTCTTCTATTAAAAGAAAAGAGATAATCTCAAATGTCCTTTTGAGAGATAACATTGTATGACACTAATTTTCCTGTAAAATTTCTTATCAAGTTTAATTTTTAATTTTAAAACATCAGAGTAAGTGGTGTTATTCCTGTAGGAATAACAATTCCAAGAGCAGGTAAAAGGTGCAACTCACACAAACTAAAAAAGGATATAGAAAATGTTTCCACTCTGTTAAAGAAGGCTTCTTTGCTTGTAGATTCCAATGGCGGCTGTTCTGCTTTGGGTGATCCATTAGCAGACTGGAATGTGGCTGATGTGTCCTTCCTAAAAGAAAGTGATATAACTTTTGGTAATCCTTTCATGGTATCACTTAGCCTAGACATTGTGCATCTAGCTTCTCTGCACATCATCTCATCAATCACATCACACTGGATTTTAATCTTTCTAAAAATAATTTCAGTTGTGTCATTCCTCTGCTTAACATTTTCAACAGTGTCACAATACTTATTAAATAGAATCCAAATTCTTCAGTTTGGCATTCAAGTCTCTTTGCAGTTTGGCCATACCTAAGTTTCAAGCAATTACTATATCCACAACATCCCATTAATCCTGTATGGGCAACCTCGTCTTTGAGCTCATTCACTGTTCTATAGGGACATTTTGCTTAACTTCAGTAAAAACAAAATAAGAATCAAGTTTTCTATGCATTATGCAACTTTTCTATGCATTATGCAACTTCTATGCATTAAGACAGCTGGAAACACATCGATCCCTAGTCAAGCCCTGAGATGACTGCAGCCCCAGCCAATATCTTGATGCCAGGCTGTGAGAGACCCTGAACCAGAGGACTCAGTTAAGCCATGCTTGGATTCTTAATCCACAGAAACTGTGAGGCAGTAAGTGTTAGTTGTTTTAAGCCAGTAAGTTTTAGGGTAATCTGTAGAAATTAACTTGAACCACTGTAGAAATTAACACTTTTAACAGCAGAAGACAATTTTGATACTTCTACCTGGATTGACTCTTGATACCCACTTCTCCCAAAATAGAACTAATTTGAAAATTCAAACCAAAGTAAAGATAGTTAAGCAATTCCATGAAAAAAATCCAGAGAAAAAGGGGTTAATAATCAAAATATATTAAAAACTCATACAACTCAACACCAGAAAAACCTATCAATCTGATTTAAAAATGGACAGAGGACCTGAAAGACCAAAGAAGACATAATGATGGCCAACAGACACATGAAAAGATGCTCCGCATCACTAATCACCAGGGAAATGCAAATCAAAACCACAATGAGATGTCATTTCACACCAATTAGAATGGCTAGTATCAAAAAGACAAGAAATAACAAGTGTTGGTGAGGATGTGGAGAAAAGGGAACCCTGCAGTCACTATGGGAAACAGTATAGAAGCTTCCTCAAAAAATTAAAATAGAACTATCATACAATCCAGTAATTCCACTTTTGGGTATTTACCTCCAAAAAACAAAAATAAGAATTTGAAAAGATATATACACCCCTATGTTTGCCACATTATTTATAACAGCCAAGATATAGACACAACCTAAGTGTCCATCAATCGATGAATGGATAAAGATATGTACACACACACACACACACACACGTGGGGTGGGGAGAGAGAGAGGGAGGGAGAGAATATTATTCAGCCACAAAAAAGAATGAAATCTCGCTATTTGTGACAAAATGGATGGAACTAATGGGTGTTAGGTGAAGTGAAGTAAGCCAGAGAAAAACAAGTACAGTATGATTTCACTTACATGTGGAATCTAAAAAACAAAGCAGATAAAAAAAAAAAACAACAGACTCATAAATACAGAGAACAAATTGTTGGTTGCCACAGGGAAGGCAGATGGAGGAATGGCCCAAATAGATGAAGAGGATTCAGAGGTACAAACTTCCTTATTTATTTTAAAATAAGTAAGTCACACAGTGCTTTTTTCAGGAGCACATATACTAAAATTGGAACAATACAAAGAAGATCAGCATGGCCACTGCACAAGGATGACAACAAATTCGTAAGTATTCTGTATTTTTATGGTAGCACAGCATGGAGAATATATCCAATGATTCCATTACATCTTCCAATTTGACAGATAGTAATTGCACTAGTAGGGGCAAGGATTTAATAATAGAGGTAACTGTTGAACCACTGTTTTCTGTACTTGAAACCATAAGACTGTATATCAATGATACTTTAATTAAAAAAATAAATCACTGGGATGTAAAGTGCTGGGATGTAAACTTTGTATGGTAACTTTGATGGTAACTACACACATCATGGTGAGCATTTCATAATGTATATAAATGTCACTATGATGTGCACCTAAAACTAACATAGTTGTCAACTATACTTCAATTAGACACAAAAATTCAGGGAGGAAAAAAACCATAAAAACAATCACTTTGTTTTCAGTAAAAGTCATTTCAAAACCTCTTGGGGGCAGGTAGAGAAAGAAACCGCTGAACACAAAAGTCATTTTAATAAAAATAGTATCACACCAACTACTAAAACTTGAGAAAGAAATAACTTTATTCTAAAAACAATGCTTCTCAGAGTCAGGGAGAGCCTCAGGGAGGTGTAGTTATTGGAAAAAATTCAGATGATCCACAAACTTGGATGGGGGAAAAAATGAAATTTATTTTACCAACCTCTAACTGAAATTTGGTATTCCCTTCAGTTATGAATGAAGGTAATAAAAAAAAAAAAGCCATAGTAGAATCAGCAATACCTCTGAATCTATCACCAAGGGAATAACAAGATACTTTATCACCATGTATGGTTGTTGCACTTTTTGAAATACTGTTTATGCTCACAGCTACTTCAACATTTTGGTAGATAATAGACCTATTACTAGCTATTAACTCTAATACTGAAGAATATTACTCTATCACTTTATTTTAATATCTTGATAGCTGTATTCTAACGTAATTGATTTCCTTTATGAGAATGGGTTCATAAACTTCACCAGGCTGCCAAAAGGCTCTATGGTTCAAAAAAGATTAAGAAGCCCAACAAAAAGAAGTCAGGTGCGTGCATTGCTAGCGGTCCTGCACACCCCACCCCACTCCCCAAATAAACCTCTTATGGCAAAATTCGCCTGTGGTGCGGAATACAGTACATCCCGAGGAGAGGCTTAAAGCGGACAACACATAGTTACCCTAATCTCTTTCGAAACCCGGGACGAAGCCATCCCCAACCCTGGTCGCAGACCCAAGGGTTCCCCAGGCCTGAGTTCCCGAAGCCCTGTCCAATCAGCCCGCGCCGGAACCAAGGCGGACTCCGAACTCACGCGTCGGCGCCTCCCTCTTCCGGAGCAATCCCCTCATCTATTAGCTGCCGAACTTTCTGGGGGGTCCCTTCTGGAGAGCGAACAACCGCACCCCAATTATTTTCTACTCCCCAAGCAAACGCTGGCCCCTCACTGGGCGCCGCCATCTTGGTCCGTTGCCGACTTGCTTCCCCGCGGGTTTGTAAGTTCAGGAACTTCCGTTCTGGGCGGTTAAGATCCTCCTCTGGACGCAGCCTCTCGCGTGTGTACCCGCGCGACCGTCGGAGTCTGACTGCGGGGCCCACCCCTTCTTAGCCACCTCAGAACGAGGTAAACCACCGTGGGAGGGCTCATGTTTACGATGACGCCTAGATTAATCGTTTCCTTTATACATGAGCATGTTGGGGCTGATGATGGGTTTTTAGAGCACTCCTTACAAATGCAGCAGAGGGGCCCAATTTACTCTTCAGTAATTAACTCATATGATCCTCCTAATTTATATGTTGTTTTTACAAGTGAGGAAATGGCAAATGTCACGTGAGAATAAAAAATTAGAATCCTTAGAAACCATATTACAAGTGGGTTTATAAGTCTTTGGCATTTGACATTGACCATTCCCTCCCTCTCTTGTCCAATATTTGAGTGTGGCCCACTGGTGCTGTTCTAGGCTGTGGCAATGACAGTAGTGAACAAAGATGATGAAGTTATTAATGGAGATAGACATCAAACACATAGGTTTTCCTATAGTTTTGAAGTTATGATTATAAGTGCTCCAAAGAAGTACCACGGGTATGAAAGTGAGACAGGGACTGTGGGTGTAGTCAGAGTAGGGTGAGGACCTCTGGAAAAAGCAAGGCAGGATAATTAGAGTCAGAGCAGTGTAACTACATGCAAGGAAACCCCCCTACTAAAACTCTGTGTTAAACATTCAGCTCTAGAGTCATTCTTCAGTGAGACCAGTTAATATTCCCCAGATGAGGAGTAGCACATGTTTTTATTATGTTAATCATTTATAATCATGAGTAAGATTCACTTCAACATGCTAAAAGGCCCAGGCCTATGTGCTGTCTCTCCTCCTTCAGATCTGATGAAGTGATTTTGCAAACTGGGCAAACTAATTTAGCAAGTAAGCCCAGGCATAACACAGTAGAAGGCAAGAAGGATTCCACCTTAAAGATAAGACTGCACTTAACTTAACTCTTTAGCAAACAATCTCAGCCCACCTTGGGGGCTGAGCAGGTGGCCTTGTTTCCTATGCTCCCAGACTGAGATGCTGGTATCTCGGGGAGAAATCAACAGAGCAGAAAGTTACTTCTATCAAGTTAATTCTAAATATCCTAGGACCATTTAATAAGTTCCCTCCCCTAAGTTTTTTTTCATGTTCTCGAAAAATCCTCATCTACGTCTAAAACCCCTAGACAACGCACTACCCTGGGCTCTCTTGTCCCCTCCTGACGCGAGCCAGGAGCTCTGTTTGTCCTCTCACTGTATCTCTCAATAAAAGTCTCCCTGGCTCTCCTTCCTTGACTATTTGCTAAATTCATTCTTCAGCTCCACAAACAAGAACCCCGGCATCAAAAGGAGGACCTAATTTAGCCTGCAGATTCTCCTGAGAGTGTCAGGTGCTGGAGCTAAAATGGCAGAGACTGTGGGAAAGAGATCTTCACAGAATCTTACAACATCCCAGATTGGAAGGACTTTGTCTCCTATGATCAACTGAAAAAGAAGACTGTTGTGACAGAGCAATGGGCAACAAGTGGGACCACTCCCTACCCTTCCAGCTCACTCCCAGTGGGCTCGTGATTCCAATAATGTTCTCACAGGACCTTCAACCTACTGATCCAACCATCTTCCCCATTGTCCCTAACTGCACAGCCTCCTCCCTTATTTTTTTCTCTCCTCAATCAGCTTAAGTTCATTGCCAATCATTATCATTCCTTTGAAAATTTTGAATGTGGACTGATAATTAGTAAATATTAAAGAATTATCATTAGTTTTGTTGTATGTGATAGTGGCATTGTGACTGTGGTTTTTAAAAGTCCTTACTTAAATACACCTTGATGTATTCATGGGTGAACTAGAATAACGCCTGGGATTTGCTTAAAATTCTCAGGGTAAAGGAAATGTGTGGTGGCATAGATGAAAGAAGATTGCAAAGTGTTTTTAATTGTTGGATTTGGGTGATAGACTCAAGGGAGTTCATTATATTATTTCTAATATTGAGTATGTCTGACGATGACATAATAAAAAGCAAAATAAATAAGCTAAAAATAATGCATTCTTTTGAATATCCTCTCAATTTCCTTGAACTTTTCTTGCTTTCTTGCTTTATGGTATTCATTTGGCAAAACCTCAATCACAGTTGAATTCAATTCCCCACCACGTTGCTCCTGTACCCAATAAACTGAATATGGTTTAAAAAAATGCACAACATGATGATTGATCTCTGTATTCTTGACCTCAAGTGGGCTCTTAATTCTGCCCAGTAATCATGCTACATTTCCCTAGTGCACTTCCTCTCCCACTTGCATAGGTGACTATTTTATATCTCTCTCCTCAAGCCTTCAACACCTTCACCTATCCATCCTGTCAGATGACCTTGTTTCCTATTTCACTTAAAAAATTAAAACAATCGGAAAAGAACTTCCACAAAGTTCCACCACGTTTACCCAGTAGCATGAGTACTGAGAATTTTTTCAGTTCTCATGGTAACAGCTAGAAATGAATTTTAAGTTCAATCCATCAATGATAACTTACCCCAGTGAACACGCTTTTTTTTGTAACCCCGATCAACTACAACCCCTTGATTCTGAAATTCAATCACAGAGACTCACTTTAATAAACATGCTCTGAGTACCAATCAAGAATAGTCTCATCCAAGTTATCAGTTCTACAGATGATGTTAACATACTTAAAACTGAAAGTACACCAATCCTGAACTTCCCACTTGCTCAAAATCCAATATAAGTTTAACAGCCTGGTCTGTTCAAAGCCTGTACCTGACCAGCAAGGCTCTCACTGTCTTTAGTAAGCAGTAAATTTGGCTTTATCTTTCAGTTCATGTAATGGGTGGCTGTATTATCATCCTCTGATAGTACTTTACCTTCCTGCCTATTATTATAGATCAGTGACTCTCAAGTGGGCACAGTTTTGCCTCCCAGGGAACATTTGGCAATTTCTAGAGACATTTTTGGTTTTTACAACTGGGGTGGTGGAGAGGCCAGTGATGTTAAAATCTTACAATGCACAGGACAGCGTCCCCTACAGCAAAGAATTATCTTACCCAAAATGTCAGAACAGCAGAGACTGAAAAATTCTGCTATAGTCTGTGTTCCTCAATACCAACCTTATACACTAGACCTAGTAATCCTCTCTTGCCTTCCTCAAGGACATTGCCCAGCAATTTTTCCCTCTACTGAATGTTCCCATCAGTATCAAGATATTATTCTTTCCATCTTAAAAACAGAACAAAACAAAAACCTCTGATTTCAGGTCTTCCTCCAGCTACCACTCCATTTTTCTGCTCTTCTTTATATCAAAACTCCTTGAAAAAAATTACCTGTCATTACTGATTTCTAGTATCTTTGGTTTTCCCCCTCATTCCCTTTGCTCCAGCTGCACTGGCATCCTTACTAGTCCTTGAACAAGACAGATGTAGTCCTGCCTTGGAACATTTGCACTCCGTTCTTTCTGCCTGGAATGCTCTTTCAGATGCTCACATGGTTCACTCACTCACCTTCAATTCTTTATGACTTCTTTGTTCACATTACCACCATCTCAAAGAGACCTACCTGATCACTTTGCCCGTGCAGTCACCTGGGATTCCTCTTCCACGTACCTTGCTTTGTTGTTCTCTATAGTCCCTATCTTTTTTTTTTTTTTTTGGTTTTCTTAATGTAGAATTACATGAGCAACATTATGGTCCCTATCTTCTTAATATGTAATTCTCTTGTTATGTTTATTTCTGTCTCCCTGTCCTCATTAAAGTATAATCTTTGTAATCTTCACAAAAGTAGGGGTTTTGTCTTTTTTTGTTCATTGCTGTATCCCCAGTGTTTACAATAGTGTATGGAATAAGTGGACACTCAATAAATAGTTGTTAAATGAATATATGTAAACCTTGTAAAGGATTTAGACTTTATCCTAAAACCAAAGACAGCCATTGAAAGACTTTCAGCAGCACGGTAGCATGAATAGTTGTGCATTTGGGGAAAAATCACTCTGAACCCTGTGTGAAGAATGGATTTGATCCTAGAGGGCATATAGAGTAGCCATTAGGAGGTTGCTAAAGAAGCCACCAGAGAAGAAGATGATGGCCTAAGACTGGGGTGGAGTAGTTGGAAGTGAGAAGATTCAAGATATATTTTGGAACTAGAAGCACAGGACTTGGTAATAAAATGCACAAATATTAAGATACAGCTCAATGTATTTTGACACGTGTGTACACCCAGATCAAATACCGAGTGATGTACCAGTATCACCCAGATCAAGGGATCAAACATTTTCACTTACATTTTTTTCCCCTTTCACTTATTTCATCCATCCCTCCACTTTCCTCTCCTTTGGCAATTAGCTGTCTGTGTTTCTGAGTCTATTTCTGATTTGTTTGTTCATTTGTTTTGTTTTTTAGGTTCCACATATAAGTGAAATCATATGGTATTTGTCTTTGACTTACTTCACCTCTAGGTCCATCTGTGTTGTCACAAATGGCAAGATGTCATTCTTTTTTATGGCTGAGTACAATATTCCACTGTATTTATATACCACATCTTCTTTATCCATTCATTTATTGATGGACACTTAGGCTGTATCCACTATATTATTATCTTATTTAATCTCTCCCAGCTGACTAATTAAAAAGCATTTCTTAAGAATCTATTTTGTGTAGTATTTCACATTTTTATGGTGATTTCTGGTCTGCATCTATTTCTTAGAACTCTAGAGGTAGTTTATTAATTAGGATTTTATTGGCTTCAGGCTACAAACCCAATTTAATCTAACTTAAGCAAGAAGAAGAATTTCGTAGAATAGTATTTCTTAAAATTGAATAATGTTCATTCCACCTTTTAATTTTGTTCACCCATTTTTAAACAGAAAAAGCCTGTTTCTCAATGTTGACAAGTTATTTTTATCAAAATATTATTTAAGTGCATAAATTATTTATAAGCTCTTTATGCTTATAGTGCATATAAAACATGTCAGAACAAACATAAATTAAATAACCATAAACTCAAAACAGTTTGCATTTACCACATTAGTTTACTCTAATGAATGATGTTCCTTTGCTAAACTACAATCGCCAATGTTGGAGAAAAGTAGAAAAATACATCCCAGTTCAGGTTCTCTAATCTGCTGTGCAATCTAATTTTAATAATATTAACACATACATAGAGTGCCTGTTCATTATAAGCTTGTCACACCAAAAATACAAAATGATATTAATACTTTCAAGACTTTGTGACTTGTTTGGTATAGTAAGACTTAATATTTAACAAATCTTTGCCAGATAGCATTCCTCTAATGTCAATTTAATGAGCTGTCACTCGATATCTTCATAAAATTGTCTTATTCAAGTTAAGTTATTGTTAGTTAACTTTGCATCAAATGAGTAGATAAGCCAATTATTGCTGGGATTGGGAACACAAAATAGTATCTGGACTTCAAGTTCAATATTGCAGATGTTGACAAAAATTGTCTGGTTTTTGCCCAGAACTTTCTATTAGATGATTGAAGGATATAAGTAAACACTTGAATGACTTATTCACATAACTTTAAAAATCACTGACCATTATTCAGTTTTCTTTATAAACTTTCACTTTTTATTAGATGTGGAACTTTAGGAGCACTGTGAAACCTGCTTTTGCCTGCAGTCATGTCATGCAGCTTTCCTTTGGTACATGTGCACATGCTTTCATCCTCCTGTCTCATCCTGTAACAACCCAAGAAATATATTACTGCATCACATTATGATATTTTCCTGATGTCAAGTATAAAACTAAACTTATTAAATAACAATAAAGTTTAATTCTGTTTCAGTCTTTCAGTTGTAAAACAATACTACAAGAGAATTTTCTTTTTAATTGATGGTTGTAAGACTGTGTGGCTTAGTGCTACAGCAGTATTGCATTAAAATTGTAGCCTAAACAAGAATTCCAATCTTTTCTTATATTGCTCTCAAGTTCACATAATGTGACATGATAGATCTTTAGTGTGGCAGGTAGAAGATATTTGGGAGGATAGGTCTTTTCCCAAAGGCTGCTGCCTATTGGCAGGTTCACCCATGGCAGTGGACAGCTCTCATGTAAATTCTCAACTCAATTCATTGAAGCAATCCTTGAAAACATAAGTCTGATCATGTCACCTCTCTGCTTAAAGACTTCAATGGCATCTTGCTCCATTAAGATTCAGTCTAAGCTTTTACCTGTCCAAAGTCTTCTCAAGCAAAATTGTTTAACTCCTTCCCTACTCCAGAGTGAAATCTTGGTTTTACATTTGCAAAGCCCAAATTTATGTTCAGAGCTACCAAAAAAAACACAGAAACTTTGAAATTAGTTTTTTTTTTAAGTGGGGGTGAGAGAAGGGAAAAGAGTTGCCTTCAAAATTTCTATATGCATTTCCTAGACAGGGCTCACATTACCAGACTTCTTATAACCTAAACCTTTGCTAAACACATGAATTTCCTGCCCTAATGTTGGTCAAATGCCTGTCTAAGAATCATGGGAGGAGAGTTTAAAGGCTCTATGGTCCACTCAGTTCTCCAGAACAGCGCCTTCCAAATTGAATGCCTACAGGCAAAGTGTTCCAAGATAATCCTGGTCTCTTTGTACCAACCTTTCACCCCTCCTTTTTTTTTTTTTAACATTAAAAGACTACGTTTTGGGAGGGGCTCAAGATGGTGATGTGAGTAGGGCGGCAGAAATCTCCTCCTCCCAAAACCATATAAATTTTTGAAAATACAACAAATACAACTATCCCTAAAAGAGAGACCAGAAGATACAGTACAACAGCCAGGCTACATCTACATCTCCAAGAACTCAGCATCTCACAAAGGGAGTAAGATACAAAGCCGTGACCTGGCGGGACCTGAGCACTCCCCCCACCCCAGTTCACCCACAGGAGGAAAAGAGTCAGAGTGCAGAGGGAGTGGAAGCACAGGACTGCTAAATAACCAACCCTAGTAATATGCATTGGGAGCACAGACATACATTGCATGGTGTACTGCATATTAGAGAAATGGAAGGGTAGGGTCTGAGATGGAGACTGCAAGCAGGTCCCCACAGCTGGCTCCCTTGGGATAAAAGAAAAGCAGGTGCTTATTTAAAGTCTTAAAGGGACAAGGGTTCTACAGCTGAACAAAATTGTCCAGCACACTCAGCCCAGCAGGCTGGGATTCTTGAGTAACTTCAGGCCCCCTAA